AGGTGGGCATCAGACTAACGTTATTCAGTGAGAGACCTCAAATCATGAATATTTCTCTCATGCTCTTGGAGTGCAACTCTTCAATTTGTCAGATAAGTCTTTCTACATCAAACCTAGTGGCTTCTCCATTCAAAGAAAGTCATATTAAAGCAAACCCTCTTGGGTTAAAACGTACAACAAATTTTCAGACTCTTAGAAATGTCAAACGGAAAAATTTTCCTCTAGTAAATAGAGCTCAGGGTTTACTGCAGTTTAGAAACATCTCACTTATTACATATTCGCTGGATGATTCCTTGGCAAGCCTCACCTCTCTGGCTCTTTGTGGTGAATGTTTGAGAACTTGTTTTTCTCATTACCTTAATTGGCTTGGAACTTCGTCTATGTTTTCTCCTGCGGATGAGCTTTTCTCTGTCCTGGAAAACATATATGGAACTTTGAGGTTTAGAGTTCTTACACATTTACCTTATTTTTTTCCTTTTGAAAGCAAGTTGTTTTTTCCTCGAGATATTACACGTTTTTATTTAAAATAAAATTTTGTTTTATATATTTTGGCACATTTTGGGTGTGATTCTCAAAGATATTTCAGAGTAAGGGTATTATACTTTTCCTGATGATTTATGTGGTTCCAAGAGCTTCACAATCAGTTTCACTGTTTCTAATATCAGAATCTTTCATTTTGCATTTAAAATTCAAGTAACTTCAAAAATAGTTATTTATATTCCTTTACAGCACAGCTCTTCAGTTCTTTTCAGGTCTAAAATTATTTTAAAATTTACATTTTAAAAAACTGTCATAAATTAAAGCCCTTTTCTTTTCATTAAATCATTTGTAAGACATAAAAAGCTTAACTGTTGACTATTTCTGGAATATGAAGGGCATATCTGGTTGGGTGAAATCATTTAGTTGTTCTATTCTTTTCCTTTCCTCCCTTTCTTCTTTCCTCTCTCTCTCTCTTTTTCCCTTCCATCAAAAAAAATCTAGAAAACTCAAATAATACATAGAAATAATGATCAATTTCCTTATTCATTCATGTTGTAAAAGGAGATATCCTGAGAATTTGGAGCACTCCATGTATTTAGTGCACAAATTTAAGCTTGGTGGTATAAATGTTTCCCTCATAGTCTGATCAACCTTCTTAAGCAGCCCAGCATTGTGTAAATTTATAGCTTGGTTTCATGATGCTCAAACCTAGAGATATTCCCGGACTAGTGAGCATGTAAGATTTATGAGTTATTAAGATGTGTAAGTGTGAAATCAAAGTGAGGGCCCCAAGGCTTCAGCCCACATGTGAAAAACAATCTGATTTAAGCCAGTGACATTAAAGTTTTTAGATTTTTTGCATTTATAATCAAAAATATTTTGGTCAATATAAGTAAGACTGTTAAATTTTATGCATTGTATACTTATATTACCCTGGTAATCTAATGTATGCATTAGAACATATACTTAGTATAGGCATTTTTTAAAGAATGAGTGATAAATAATTTCAGATGGATATTACAAGCTTTCCTTCTCTCAACAGCAGTGGGTCATTCTGATCACCTGCTTGGGAGGTTTGTCTGAACCCCTCCCCATAGTTCCTCCCACTTACAGATCTTTGCTTGATCCTGAATTGAGAGGGACCAAAGATGATGTTCTCAGAATAAAGGCAGAGAGGCAAAGAAGAAAATCCAAAGGCATCTAGAGGTCTCTGACCTCCAGAAGCTGGCAGATCCTCAGTTGCTGGAAGCATACATGTCAGTCAAATGCAAAGAGGAGCCATAATTACTCTAAACTATTCAGTAGGAATTGGAGTAACTGCCAGAAAGGCTAGATGGGAATTCCAGACTTGTCACTTGGTTGTGGAGTTGCTATTTATCAAAAAATATTTGTTAAACTGGATCTATGTGCTAGACACTGATTAGGTTTGGGAAACAAGACGTACACAGTCCTGTTATTGTAGGCAAAGTATTTAATCCCTGAAGTGCAGGATCCTGATAATGGAAAAATAATTACATAATAACAGATTTGAAATTTCCTTCAATGTGCTTTGCAGTCATTATTGCTGTTACCAAATTAGTTGAAAAGGGATCATAAATGGAAAAGTATAATGTAGTTAAATAATATAAAGCATTTCTGCAAGAGCCTTTTGAACATAATTATACACTAAGCTTATGAACTTGAGCCTCTGAGGTTAATCCAAAATTATTAAATGCCCCCATTGTGTGTTGGTTTGTTGGCTACCTGTGCTTGAGAAAGCTTAGAGCTTACAAATGGATCGCTACCTACCCTTGTGAGCTCATCAATAATGTTCTGTTGCTCAATGACCTGAAGTTTCAGAAACTCTGTCTCTTGTTCTTCATTAGCTTGGTCGAGGTCATTTAGAGATTTTAATTTTTTCAAAGGTGGGTGAGATGTTATTTTTTCTCTCTGAAAAGGAAAAGAAGAAATTATAGGAGGAAACTTCAAAAATTGTAAAGTTCAGTCACTCACATGTATAGAAATCTGATGAGGGTCCAGCTAAATCTGAATACTGCTCAGGCAATTTTACATAAACCAACTAAAACACTGATGTGAATTTTACCTGTTATAATACATTGACATCACTGAGGATCTTTATACCTCTTTCTGAGGCTCTTTATCCCTGTCTGTTCAGGAGTAAATTAGGAAATCACTTGTCCATATACGATACAAGCTATGGTACCTATCTCCCAATTATCATACAAGTTTTTACAAGACAAGGTGTGCTGTCTGTGCAGGTTTGTAATCACATGTTAGTGAAATCTTCGAAGAAGTGTCTGTGGCTTAGGAGGCACATTAATGCCTTGCTTCTGCATTTCCAAGCTTTCGGAGAATGTGCACATTCCTGGAAGCACACCTACAGTTCTGTAATTTTAGAAACTCCGTGATATTCAAAGGCAGCAAGTTTATCTTGCTTACTTCCTTACAGCCTTCTTGCTTACATAAGGGCAAATCTAAATAGCAGTGTACTTCAAAACCAAGTGGAGAATAACAACAGTGAGCCGGGTATTGGAGTAATACAGAGAAGGAAGCTACAGTTTTGCAACGTCTGTGATACCCACCATTTCTGAATTCTCCTTGGTAACGGCTTTTAGTTTCTCTTCCATGCGCTGCAAAGACACCACCAGTTCATCGTTTCTTTTGGCGAGGCACTTGTTTCTTTCCAGGAGAGGTTTACATTGTTTTTCAGTCTCCCGCACACGTTTTAACTGGGAAGAAATACATTAAGATTTGTCTCTTCTAGTTGGGGGGATTTGGGGACCTGGGGAGTCAGTTGGTGGGAGGGAAAGCATCCCGGTCTGCTTTACTATTTTCCTCAGGACTATTAACATGCCTGTCTTCCATTTAACACATCGACTGCTTCCTTTTCAGTTTCTTCTCATGGGTTTTTATACTTGTGTTCATAACCCTGTATCCCTTGATTACCTTATAGTAGGTGCTGCGGAGATAGTGCTTTGGGAAATGCTCAGGAGGAGTAAGAGTTCTCTCCATTCCCTATTTAGAGAAATACCTCAGTTTCCCCACCATGCTCAGCCCCATTCTTAACCCTAGAATGACTGCTCACTGAGTCAGAGAGATAAAGCAGTCAGCTCATCTAAATTGCAGTCACTTGAATAATAACCAGGATCCCAACTGGAGCCTGTGCATCTCCAAAGCCTGTCTTTCCCTCAGAGTACTTGCTGAAATCTCCTGATTCGTATGGCACTAAGTCTCTTTATTGCTAAGGAAGTTTTACTGAACAGCTACAAGAAAAATAAGACAATGTACTTTTGAAACTGTACTAGCTGGGAGTGGTGGTGCATGCCTGTAATCCCAGCACTCGGGAGGCTGAGGCAGGAGGATCATTGTGAGTTCGAGAGCAGCCTGGGCTACAGAGTGAACTCAAGCCCAGCCTGAACTGCATAGCGAGACCCTGTCTCAAAAAGACAAAAA